GTGCCTTTCTGAACAGTTATGCTTAGCAATAACAAAATTAAGTATCCTGCAGAGCCAGGAGGGGGAAGGTTTGCAGTCTGGCTCTGGGCCCCTAGCTGGAGTGTGGGCTTTGACAGGTGACACTAGCTGAGACTGCTTGGGGGTTAAAAAAAGTCAGTTTTCAACACGCATTTAACAGCAGGCAATGAAGGGGCCAGATAAACCTCTATTGAGAGGCTGTTCCATTATCTTGAATCCTCAAGCAAAAGGTCCCTATTAGACACTTATTACCCAGAAAGCTCAAAGACATTGATGTTGTACAAGTGTTATACAATGCTGATTTTTGCATTCATGAAAGAAGGAATGCCTATTTTATTCAATGGCGCCATGATGCCCCCCTCCCTTTTTTGTCACTGATATTTTGGTTCTTCATATTTTACTGAGTTTTAATTGCAGCTGTACAAGAATGAACTCACATCATAAATCAGTCAGTAACATAGGAAATAAAACCCAACCATAGTGCTCCTCCACTTGTAACTGTAAATCTTGCATCAGTAAACCGAGTATATAAATTATACTAACAAAGGGAATGGAGGAGGAAAGACAACACACGGGAGGAATATGTAAAGTCATTTATGAAGAGCGGCATTTATTTAGTTGGGGTTTTTTTAAGGGAAGCTGAAAGAAGAAGTTAAATGTTTAGCAATAAACAAGATCCCCAACCCCATTTTTACCATCAGCGTGAATAACAGGATATTTGTAGGGTGTGGGGAGAATCCCTAACCCTTTCCCACTCACCGTATTTCCCCTGCAGTCCTATTCCTTCCTCATGACTCCTTCCCCCAACCAACTCCAAGTGAGAAAAGCAACTGGGAAAGGAACCACAGAATAAAAAATGGTGGGTGGAGGAAAATTAAGCACATCCTTGCCTCTTCTTCTACCCTGCAAATCACCTCTCCACACATATATTCCATCTTCATATGTTGAAGGCAAATACAGTGGTACCTTGGTTCTCAAACTTAATCCGTTCGGGAAGTCCGTTCCAAAACCAAAGTGTTCCAAAACCAAGGCATACTTTCCCATAGAAACTAATGCAAAATGAATTAATCCGTTCCAAACTTTTAAAAACAACCCCTAAAACAGCAATTTAATATGAATTTTACTATCTAATGAGACCATTGATCCATAAAATAAACGCAATACTCAATGTACTGTACTATAAAATAAATAAGACAGTATTGTAGATGATAAAAAATAATTTTATTTTTTTTCTTCTTACCTGCACTGATGATAATCATTGTTTGGATGGGGGGCTTTTATCCATTTCTGCAGTCACACAAGCAATCAATCAGTAGCTGAACTGGGTTCCACACAGGCACAAAAACAAATTAATTGAAAAAGCCTCAAAAACAGAAAATAGTCCAATTGACTTCCAAAATGTTCAAAAACCAAGGCACAGCTTCTGATCGGTGCAGGTGCCCCAAAAACAATAGCTGACAGCCGCTTCGGATGTTCGGCTTCTGAAAAATATTCAGAAACCGGAACACTTACCTCTGGGTTTTCGGAGTTTGAGAACCAAAGTGTTTGAGAACCAGGGTACCACTGTATATGGTGAGGGATCCTGTGACTGCAGTCAAACATTGAGTCCTGCTCCTACCTTGTTTCAAAACTTCATTTATTGTGTTGCACTTGAAGGCAACCAGGAAGTTACAATTGCTCCAGAATACAGCTGCAAGGGTTCTGGCAGAAGTGGCCTGCTGCCTAGGCAAGCAGTAGAGGGAAAAATTGCTTGGCCCACATTTTGATCCACAACTGAACCAATCTACTATGTGAATTCTGAACTAAAAAGCAGAGTGGAGCACAGCTGCTGACTGGATAATTCACTTCTCCGAATTTTATGCTGCAGTTTTGATTCAAGAAACCACACATTCAAAACTATGTATTTTAGGGGAAATGCTTTGGAGAGCATACAAAGCAGTGTATTTTAGGGGAAGAATTGTGTCCTTGTTTAGGAATAATGCTGCAGTGAGGATAAGGGCTTATTCACACCTGTGTTTGCCCCACCACTCTCCCCTAGGAAAACTTAGTGATGAATGGGAACAATTGGTTTTTCCACAGATTGCTGTTTGTTCTGAATCGGCACTAATGTTCAAGTTTCCCTAGGGGAAAGCGGTGGAGCAAAGGCAAAACCACATGGATCCATGTCATGCCTAGAAAGTGCAGAAGAAGCAGAAAACCGCTCATACCCATGCTTTCTAGGTACAGGACAATCAGAAGTGTGGATGAACCCTAAAAATAACCCATCTGTGCTATAGGGCAGCCGAGACCTTGCAGTTAGATATCCTTCAGGAGTTCTTGCAATGTCCAAACTCTCCCTTCACAAAACCCAACCATGGAAAATAATGGACATTTCACTTATCTGTAAGAACTCTAAAACAAATGTGTTCTCTCTCTGGTGGAATCTACACACATACAAAATGTTCTCAAAATGCTTTTTTAAAGCATTTTTTTTAATAAAAAAAATACATTGAATTTTCCATAAGGCTCACCATCACCATCTAAACAAAATAAAAATATTTCTTCCAGTAGCACCTTAGAGACCAACTAAGTTTGTTATTGGTATGAGCTTTCGTTTGCATGTATCTGAAGAAGTGTGCATGCACACGAAAGCTAATACCAATCACAAACGTAGTTGGTCTCTAAGGTGCTATTGGAAGAAATATTTTTATTTTGTTCTGACTACAGCAGACCAATATGGCTACCTACCTGTAGCCATCACCATCTAGTGTAACGTTGTATATTGCACTTAAATTGTTCTATTTGCAGCTGTGTAGCTGAGTCGTGTGTGTGTGTGTGTGTCTGTGTGTCTGTGTGTCTATGTGTTTGTTAAAGAATCTCTTTTGATTCCATTTGTATATGTATTGGGGCCAAATACATCAGTTAGTAGAGGTGTAAACTGAATCTACTGCCTAGTGTTCATGCACTCAACTAATGATTTTTCCCCAGTTCATCAAATGTGAGAAAGGTGTCTTGTACTTTCATTAAATGTTTGTTGTAAGCAACAAATACCAGCTCTTCCCCAAGGCTTCCACATCATAACTAATTCATTCAGTATACATAAGCTTGGATTACCCCAGATGGGAGGAAATATGAATATGGGAAGAAGAAAAAAAAATGTTGCTTTCAGTCTATCGTTTTCTAATCTGTTGTGTATTGCAGTTACTCTGAAAAGCGGCCTGCTAAGAAAATTAAGAAAACGTAGAAACCAAACTGTGATTTGGGTAGGGATGAAAATGATTTGGAGCATTGCTCCTTGAACAGTGCTCCGAAGCATCATTTCCTACCAGAGATGATAAAATTCATAGTTTTCTATGTCTCCTGAACTGAATATTGTTCTGAGGGCTTTTTCTGCCCTGCATTCCAGTCCTCCTGACTTCTGCTGAAATTAGCTCTGAAACTGGAGCACTTTGTTGCTCCTTGAGCTCACATGGAATTCCTCTCAATGTAGACATGCCCATGGGAGTCCTGTAGGATAAATGGATGTGTAGAAGAGGGAATTTCAAGAGATATAGCTTTCATGACAGATGCCTTCATCCTTGCTGTCCTAAGACATTTTGCCACCTGAGGCAAAGGATAAGACATCACACCCTGCTTTCCACACAGAGGAGCTGACCCAGTTGGGAGCTGAATCTAACTTCAACACTGTAGATGGAGCAACATCCTCCACTGTATCTGATGGCAGCAGCCTAGTTTAGGGGACATAGGGCACACCAAGTGGTGCACACACAGGTTTGTCTTACAACACTTCTGGACACTCCTCACTTACCAGCATCTGTGCCTTTGGCAGCTGCCTCACTCTGCCTAATGGTAGAGTCTATCCTGAGGGACACAGGTGGCGCTATGGGTTAAACCACAGAACCTAGGACTTGCCGATCAGAAGGTCGGTGGTTTGAATCCCCACGATGGGGTGAGCTCCTGTTGCTCAGTCCCTTCTCCTGCCAACCTAGCAGATTGAAAGCACGTCAAAGTGCAAGTAGATAAATAGGTACCACTCTGGCGGGAAGGTAAATGGTGTTTCCGTGTGCTGCTCTGGTTTGCCAGAAGCGGCTTAGTCATGCTGGCCACATGACCTGGAAGCTGTATGCCGGCTCCCTCGGCCAATAAAGCGAGATGAGCTCCGCAACCCCAGAGTCGGCCACAACTGGACCTAATGGTCAGGGGTCCCTTTACCTTTACCTTTATCCTGATCCTGTCCTCTTTTTCACCTGGCTACCTTAGTGTGCCATTCAGGCATTTTCCCTCTCATAGGAACATAGAAACTGCCTTTTACAGAGTCAGGCCAGTGGTCCATTTAGCTCAGCAATGTCCTCCACTGACTGACATTGGGTGTCCAGGGTTTCAAGCTTAATGAAGATGCTGGAGACTGAACCAGGAAAGCAGACGAGACGCTGTACCAAGGAACCATGGTCCTTCCTCACTTTGACCCCACTCAGCTGCCTTCTACTCTTGAAGGAGAGACAAAAAGTCAGGCCATTTTGAATGACAAAATATCCAAGACACTACTTCCCCCCTACATCCCTCCCTGGAAACCCTGCTCTGTGGATGAAGATCTGTTTATAATGTCTCAGGTCCTTGTGGTTAAGTATGCTGTGACTCAAGAATTTTAGCTTCTTGTGTTGTGGCACTAATTCTCCAGAATCCTCTTCCCTTTGAAGGCCCAATATTGCTAAGCGTTTGACATTCGTTTTAAAAATTCTTTTCTCTCAAACCTTCCCGAATTAATCTTTCTTGCTGCAGCTTGTAATGCTTCTTGGTTTTCAGTCAGTGGCTATCCATGGCTACCAGCCACGAACGGTATGTTATACCCCTAAATGTGGGAGGCAGGATGCCTCTGAATACCATTTGCTGGGAACTGTAATTGGGGTGAGCACTGTTGCATCAAGTCATAGAATCATAGAACTGTAGAGTTGGAAAGGAGCATGGGGCCATCTGGACCAAGAACATGAAATGAAGGAATATTTTGCCCAACATGGGGCTTGAACCCACAACTCTGAGATTAAGAGTCTCAGGCTCTACCTACTTAGCTATCCCAGTTTGAGATTGCATCCAGGTCCTGCCTGCCTACAGGATGCTGGACCAAATGGACTACTGGCCTGATCCAGCAGGAGACTTTTTATGTTGTTATATTTTAATAGGGTTATATATTATATTTCTGGGCTTTACTGAATTATTCTTTTGTTCTACTGTGCTTTGTCTTTTAATATTTTATTGTCAGGTGGAGTTCATTTTGATTGGAGATGATAAGCTGCTATGTGGAGGAAGTTCTTTAAAAAACAGGGTATACATTTTTTAATAAATAAAGTCAAATGGATTAAAGCAGTCCCTTTCTCTTCCATCTGCCTTATTTACTCACAATCTCCCCAGCTACTTTTGGTTCTTAAAAAAGAAAAGGGGAAAAAAATACATACAACTATATACAATGTCATTCTAGACTGGCCCTTTATATCAAAAGAAAAAACAACTTGGTTTAATTAGTCTTATAATAATTAGCTGCTTATGATTATTGACTAGGGTCCCCTCCAGACTGGTGTTTTGTTTTTGTTTTGTTTTGTTTTTTGTTTTTGTTTTATTTTATTGATTTATTATACCGACACCAACAGAGAGAACACTCACAAAACAAACTAACAAAAAGATTTGTTAGTACAACTACAAATGCAAAGCAGATGTTACAGATACATTCCTAATTCAGTTCTTATTCATTTCTATTTGACTTCCTTCATCCTCAGTGTGGGTCCGGTTGTAATCAACTGTTTCTTTCTCAATTCCTATTCTCTATTTTTCTCTTTATGTTACACTCTTACACCTTAATTTGCTTTGTGGAAATTAGTCAAGACAAGTCCAGGTATTAATTTTAGGGCACTGCTTTTTCAGATACTCACTATATTTCCCCCATTCTTTTTGAAATTTTTGTTTGGATTGATCTCTAATTGCATCTGTCAATTTAGCCAGTTCTAAATACTCAAATAACTTATCTTGCCACTCTTTTTCGTTGTTGGGATTGTCTCATTTTTCCAATTTTTGGCAATTAGAATTCTTGCTGCAGCTGTCGCATAAAGAAATATTCTCTTATTTTCCCTTGCAATATCTGACTCTAATATTCCCAATAGAAAGGCTTCTGTTTTTAAAAAAGGTTCGTTTGAATATTTTCTTCAGCTCTTCATAAACCATATCCCAAAAACTCCTAATTTTATCACAAGTCCACCACATATACAGCAGTGTGTCCTCCCCTTGTTTGCACCTCCAACACATTTTCGATTTTGTTCTATACATTTTAGATAGTTTGTAAGGTGTCATATACTATCTGTAGAACATCTTTAAATAATTTTCTTTCATCGCCTCACATGCCGTGAATCTCCAATTCTCTTTTCACAATTTCCCCCATGCTGCTAATTGAATAGGTTTACCTATATCTATTGTCCATTTCACCATCACTTCCTTTACTTGTTTGTCTTTCACCTCCCATTCTAGTAAGGTTCCATACATCCTAGAAATTACTTTTATCTTATTTTGTATTAATTCTCTTTCCAATATTGAGACTTCCCTTGCAAAAACCTTTTTAGTTATCTGTTTTAAACACTAAATTTAGTTGGTAGTATTGGATCCACCCTGTTAGGTGATTATTTATTTTTGTTTTTGTTTTTCAAGTGTATTCTGCAATATTTCATTGATGCAATGTAATTTAATGGTTGGATGACTGCAGACAACTAACACGAGCATATCACACCTTGTTTGTGGGATTTGCACTGGCTTCCAGTCTGCAATTGGAACAAGTTCATAACATATAAGCTGCTATACAATTCAGGACCAAGTTGCTTGAGAGACTGCCATATTCCTTATGCACCCACTAGATCACAGCTGTCTGTGGGATAGTTTCCCCAGCAAGTTGAAAAGATCTCAGAAGCCCCTTCCGCAGAACTGTGGCTGTTCCTGTTCTGTGGAATAGCATCTGTGTCATGATATGGCAGGTGCTCCCTATCTGCACTTTCTGGAAACAGTTTAAGACATTTTTGTTCCAATGGGCTTGATAAATGTCTTCACCATGAGTGTCCACTTTTTAGGGCTTTAGTGTAGTTTTAGATGCATTTGTTGATTTTGTGCTTTTAACTGTTTTTAATTATCTTATGTGCAAATTGTTGGGAATTTCATTCCCCCGTGCTGCAGATGTGTGATTGTGGTTGTCAGTTGTCTGTGTTTACATTCCACAGTGTTGGATGTCATGGGAATGGAAGTTCAGATACACTGTTCCGTTCTGTATTGCTTTCGGTTTTCCCTTCTCTCCGAGGAAGAAAGAGAGAGAAGAGCCATGTTTTCTTTGTTCTGTTACGTTTGATTTTGTAAAAAGGTAAAGCTAAAGGGACCACTGACCATTAGGTCCAGTCGTTACTGACTCTGGGGTTGCGGTGCTCATCTCACTTTATTGGCCAGGGAGCCGGCGTACAGCTTCCGGGTCATGTGGCCAGCATGACTAAGCCACTTCTGGCGAACCAGAGCAGCGCACGGAAACGCCGTTTACCTTCCTGCTGGACCGGTACCTATTTATCTACTAGCACTTTGACGTGCTTTCAAACTGCTAGGTTGGCAGGAGCAGGGACCGAGCAATGGGAGCTCACCCCATCGTGGGGATTCGAACTGCCAACCTTCTGATCGGCAAGTCCTAGGCTCTGTGGTTTAACCCACAGCGCCACCCGCGTCCCTTTGTTCTGTTACGTTTGATTTTGTACATAATAAATTTAGGCTTAGATGTCACACCTCAAGGCTCAGCTTCTGTTTGGACTCTGCTAGTGTCATGTGCTCATGTCCTTGGATATGGGTCACATCAGCGCGACGGGACACAGGAGTGACGAATCATCCCGGGCGGCACTGCATTGGGGGAGAGGCACCAGCCTCGGTGTTTCCCAACACAAATTGCCTTGAAGTGGTGGCTTAGAAGGTGGTACATTAGTGGTGAATTTATACTGGAACATACACACACCATTCCACTTTATTAGTTGTTTTGTGCTGCTGACCCTAAGGTTATACCATTATTGTCATCTGGAGGGGTCTTCTTGCACTGTAGAGCAACAACAGTGGGACAAGGTAACAAGCCCAGAACATTTTTAGTATGAAAAATCACAGGGTTTCAGCAGGAAGCTACAGGACATGACCAGCTGGAAATGAAGTAGTATGTCCATAGAGTCATAGAAATTTAGAGCTGGGTTCTGGGGGTCATCTAATCCAACCCCCTGCAATGCAGGAATCTTTCACCCTGAGATGTTTCATGCTCTACCGACTAAGCTACCCACCCAAAACATTTGCAGGTGCCAACAAGTGCCGGATTTACGTATAAGCTAAACAGGTTATAGCTTAGGGCCCCAAGTGGGGCCCTCCCAAAAATATACTTCTTCTTAATTGTATTTCACTATTAATATACTTCTTCTTAATTGTATTTCTGTTCAACAATTATTTTCATAAAATACATATTTTGTTATGTGCAAATGGCTTTAGATACCTATTAGGTCCATAAATTACCATATAGCATATATTCAGCACAAAAAACAGTGACAATTTGTTGTTGACAAAGGACAGCTGGACATATAAAGGGCCCCTTTATATGCTTAGGGCCTCATCAAACCTAAATCCGGCCCTGGTGCCAACAGTATTGAAAGCGGGACTGTGTATAACCACCATTATGCCATCAGGAGAACAAATAATCATGAAAGCACAAGAAGAAAGGATGGCTGGAGGGGCTTCTAGTCTTTACCTTTCTACATTTCCCTGCTCTGCACACTTGTGGACAATCCCATGGACAATCTGCAAAGAAACAACAGCCTTTTCTATATTTTATTACTTCTTGGTTTGCTTGATAAATGAGCTGGCAAGGAGTAATGTTAGATAAACGTGAAATACCCAGAGACATTCCACAGAGCAGCAGGACAGGTACCTGTGGAAAAGAAGACTCAATGAGCTGCAATAGAATGACAGTGTAAGAATCTCATTTAATTTGACAGTGCTATGAATATTTAAAGTTTTATAAAGAAAATACAGGCGAGGCAATCAGCCTTCTTCAGCCCTGTGCTCTGGGGAGCAGAGTGATCTTCCTCGTATTGTCAGCACTTGTGCGAGAGATTAAGGGTGGAAGCCAGCAGAATGTGTCAGCAGAACCTCCAACCTCTTCTCAATAAGCTTTCTAAAGGAGGACAAGGGGACGGAAAGGAAGCAGATAATTAACCCAAGGTGCTGACACCGAAAACAGCTTCTTCTTTTTTAAAAGAATTTCCAGGGTCTTTGCATAGGGTGCTCCAATACTGAGATATTAAAAGCTGGACCCCATTATTCTGGAACAGCATTGGCTATGTGATAAGGGCACTTGTTATTAAAACAGGGGAGGATGAAAGGTTTTCTCTCGACTGGCATTCAGGGCTTAAGTGCTGTGGCTCTGAACAGCTGCTTCACAAATTGTGAGAGCCATTCAGCGTAATACAGCTAGAAACAGAAGGATGGGTGGAATGGGAGGAGCTGGACGCTGCCAGCAAAGATGAAGGATCCCTGATGTTAGCGGAGAAAGTGAAGGCAGTCTTTGGTTACAGAATACCAACAGTCATCCTTGGACTTAAAAGCCAAGTGAGCCAAGTTGAAAACAGTGTTCTTGTTGGAAACACGAGCTCTAATGAAGACATTTCCAATCAACTTCTCGAAACAACTTCCCAATAGGTAGCCATGAAAATGTGCAAAGGTTGAACTCCTTAGGTAATCAATATTATCACCTTGGGTGATCTGTGCTGCCACACCTTGATAGGTCACAAATCATGCTGGCCTGCTGTAGGAGTTTCCTAATGCAACCCTTCAGGACCCATTTTTTTTATGTTCCTTTTCACTGGGGTGTTTCCTAACAAAGTGGTGAAACATTGTAACCGTTTGTTAGTGATTTAATTAATTCTTGCTGCACTTTGAATGAAGCCATGGAAGTGCTTGTGGTATCATTTCCAGTAGCCTTTCTATTTAAGATTCTATAGACTGTTGAAAGACTGTCATTTTAATAAGCTGTTAATAG